AAATTCCGACCTCTAAATAAAAAGTTTTTAGCATGAAATTTCAGCCATAGGACAAAACTTTTAATATTAGGTATAGAGAAATTTGAAATGTCATGGACCCATATTTTTTTGGTACCCGATCATATTATGCTCATCATATATGCACCATATGTAGGTTTTATTTTCCATATGTTAAAACTAATTAAAACCGGGTTTAACTTATAAAAAATAAAACTGGTTCTAAACTCTAACGACATGATATTATCATGTGTACTATATACTTATCTCCCACTATAATTGGATAATTATACTAAAAAAAGTATTTTCAAAAAAGCAGCATAGCGAAAGTCAAAAAAGTTGAACGGAACCATCCCTCTCACATTTCATGTTACACATTAATGTGATCGTACTGGTATAATATGTGTTGATTATTTTTGCTTATTTTGAGTGTCATCTCTTCTAGCTGGTAATTTGAGTCAGCATTAGATATGAGTTTTACAACTTTAGCGTGGATCCTCATGTATAAATAATTTTTTTACGATCCCCAGGTTTATTCTAAGAATGTCCTTTCTAATTTCATATTTGATAACAATTTCTGACATAAAAAATAAAATAATTCAATTAGTATTCCCATTCTTGACCAATTTTTGAAAATTGACACTTTATATTATTTCGGAAGGAATGCAGAATTTGCAAGTCTATCATTAAGACAAATTAATTTCAGATTTCATTGTTAGTAAATAAATGAGTTATAAGGCAACATCAGCATAGTCGATGACTGAGTTATCTGGTAGATTACGACTTGCATGCTAAATAATTTATTACCTATATAGTACACGATGATGAAACTATATAAACCAACAATCTTGCATTTAAATATTCCTTGTAGAATACAATTTTTCTTGTTAACAAACCCTTCTAAGAGATAATAATTCATTCGAAAAAAATCCCAATTCAATTTACAAAAAAGCATCTTTAAATAGAGTTTATTTTCTTCTTATTGAAAAATGATGCCAATTAACATCATCTTGTTAACATTAATGATCGTATTCTTCTTACTTGGTATATCTGAGAGCATTTTGACTCATAGAAATGGTTCTTTTCCAGCAGCCAAACTGCAACCAGGACACAATAATATTTTGAATAGTCTTTTTAAAGAACAAGATGCTTCGTATGCTTCTCAAATTCTTGTCTCTTTGGGGTGTTATTCTAACATAATTAACAAATATTTTTATTTTTAGCTGTCCTCCGGTAATTTACATCATCTTGCACATCTAAATTTTAATGTCATTAACTACTAACAAGTTTTTATATGAGTAGGATAATCCTATAAATTGTGGCAATTTTTGTTGTCCTCAAGTAATATTTTCTATTTATCCTACGTAATTGTGATTATTCTACTAATTTTATGTCATAAAATTTGTGTTGCCCGAATT